AGTTTTCTGACTACACTAACAGAATTAATTTTAAGAGACATTCCTATTTACTTCTAAATCCACTTAAAAAAAAAAAAAGCAAATTGCAATATGCCGTCAGTCTTCAGAATTCTGCAGTTTAAAACAACACTTTAAGGCCACTGAAGATACACTGATATTACCCTTCCCCCCCCACAGCCAGTGCCACCGAGCAGAGCCCACGGGCTGACCGGCCCAGGCACCGAACGCCCACGAGCTTTCGACAGTTCTTTTACCGTAGAAGCCTGAGTTCGGCCAATAAAGTTGGGTTCTGCTGGGCTTTCTCAGGGGTGGGCTGAGAGGCTTGTTCGTGTTCCAGCCTGAGACGCTGAATTTCTTGGAGTATCTCTCTAGAGAAACGAGAGAGGGAAGAAGAAAGAGGAAAAAGGTCAGCCTCTGCGCTGCTCTTAAACACCGCTGGAGCCCTTCAAGCACTCTTTCTGTCGGTCTGCAGCCTAAGTACAGCCACGGGGTTCATGGATGACCGGCACGGATTCAAACCCAAGGCAGGTACGTTAGCACAGTCCTATGAATCACTGTAACACACAGAGAAAATTTATTACTTAATAAGAAGTATGAAATCACTTATGTGCCACACACTGGCGACGTCTCTCCAGAGCCTTTCACGCAGAACGGGCTCAGAGACTGTTCTAAGAGGAAAAAAGTTCCATTCTGAGCACAAGCCGTGTTGCACGCGCTGCAGGACGGGCTCTGAAGCGGCACTGCCAGCATCCACCGCGTGCTGGCATCGCCCGGCTTCCCACTCACCTTTCCAAGGGCTCCTGGCAGGTCAGCAGGAGTAAGGAAAACAACAGCTCATGGTAATAGAGACAAACTCCCGAGGTCTCACAAGGGGAAGGCGATCAGCCAGCAGCCCAATTAAGGCCGCTGGGTTCTGTTCTGCGTAGCTGGAGGTGAGGGAACATAAGGGAATGTAGCACTGAGAGCCAAGGAGTCACTCATTGAAATGGAAATGAAATCCTTCTGGGAGTGAAGATTATCATCTCTGACTCTCCCTGCCCTGCTCTTTTTAAAAGAGCAGAGCTGCTCTCCTGCAGGGTTTCATACCGGCACCGATTGAGATCTCCGTTATCTGCGATCTCCAGGAATAATTTCAAATACCTGCGAGGTCTCTTGGTAGCATATCGATGGTTACCTGCTGCAAGGATGGAGCTGTTCCCGTGCTCTCCAGGAACCGGTTCTCCTCCAAACTAACCTTAAGAAGTATTTTTACCTGGTGTGCCGAGGGTGCCTCGGCAAGGGGCCGTGCAGGCAGCAAGCTCGTGCACGCCAGCTGAGATGCAGTCGGAGCACGGGGAGAGCCGAGCGCGGCTACGAGGACAGCAGAGCACCGGGCACCCGCAGAGGCTCCGTAGGTAACCCACGGGCTGCCTGTGCTGGACAGCACATGGGGTTTGCAGCTGCTTGACCACCGAATCACTGAATCATTAAAGTTGGAAAAGACCTCTAAGATCACCAAGTCAAACCGTCAACCCAACCCCACCGTGCCCACTAAACCATGTCCCAAAGTGCCACATCTACACGTTTTTTTGAACACCTCCTCAATGGCTTGCTCTTCAGAGCTGCACCCTCTTTGTGCCTTTTAGCCAGAGAAACATGAACTCAAGATGCAGGTGCTGAAAAAGCAGGTAAGTGCAAATGCAATATTATGATAAAAACAGAGTGATGTCATCTTAACAGTCCCTCTGAAGCAAAACGACACAGAATCACAGCAGGGTTTGGGTTGGAAGGGACATTGAAGACCACCCAGTCCCACCCCCCTGCCATGGGCAGGTACACCTTCCACTAGACCAGGTTGCTCAAAGCCCTGTCCAACCCGGCCTTGAACACTGCCAGGGAGGGGATATCCCTGTGACTAATGATTTAGATCAAATGTCTAATAGTTTGATGGAAAAAAATAAGATGGCAAGCAACTGGCACCAGACTTATTGGATTTTGGGTAGCTTATGCTGATGAAATACGCTAAGAAATTTAGCTTTATTTTTTCTAAAACTTATTTTTACTCATTCCTGCCCACTAAGAGAGCTGTTATTTTATAAAGCCGAGGATTTTAAATGACAGACTTAATTTTGCAGCATAATTTCTGACAAAAACCTTAAAAAGGTTAAGGCAAAACAAGTAAAATTTATGTAAAACCATAAGTAATCTACATCCCTCTGTAAAATTTAAAATACTACACCAAATACACTAGTTACTTGGTGCCACAAAAACAAAGAGAAAAGATCATTAAAATATTTTATTTTGTAATTACATATAGAGACCTGCTGCCCACGCTGCTCTGGATGCAGCCCAGGAGGCGGGTGGCCACCTGGGCTGCGAGCGCAAATTGCCAGCTCATGTCCAGAAGAAACAAACCATCTCCTATGACCTATCCCCTGGTTCTTCCAGGCCTCCCAGTTTCTTCAGACTTCTTTTGTCTTCCAAGCAAAAGGAAAAAAACCCCACTCATTCTTCTCAAGCTGACTTGACCCACCCCAGCCTTCCAACCTGCTCGCTCCACTACGTTGCAGCCCAGTTCTTCTCCTGCTGCCACCTGGATGGCTTTCCCCGCTGCGAGCAGTTTGCGGGGTTGGCAGGCAGCGAGACAAGTTCGCGACGCAGCTCCTGACGCTCAGCATCAGTTAAGAAGGTTTTAAGAAGATCAGTGAAGAAGATCAGCCCGCTCCCTGGGGAACACGGGCACCGCAGCGGCATCCGCACTGAGCTAATTGGTTAACGAGGCAGCTACAGCTTTCAACAAAAGATCTGGGAAAACGAGCTGGTTAACACAACACAAAAGGTTAAAAACAACAAAGCGCAAGGACTAAAGGCTTTTCTCTCCTCAAATGTTGTTCCCAAAACAATACTGATCAAAGCTTGCGTTTTACCTGTTTTTGTTTTCCAGTTCTGCTATCAGCTGTCTCTGTTGTTTATTGGCATCAAAGCTGAAACTCAGGTCTGTTGGTGGGCGAGGCTGGTGGATGAAGAATAGAGAAAAATTAGACAAATTATTCATTACCTGTTACCACACATGACACGGTTTGGATCCAGCCCCGTGTTGCCTGAATGCCGTGGTACGACCCCTACAGCCCAGGCTGCAAAAGAGCTGGGCTGAGATGGACCACGGGGGCACATCAAAATGTGGTTTTATGGCTGACGTGGTCTGATCTCAGGGTGGGCCGCTGCCGAAAGGGTGACCTGGCTCATCGTCCTCACTATCTGCCTGAAGAATTTTATTTGCCTTTTTTTTTTCAAAAGACCTTCAGAAAAAAATACGCCATGCCTTTCTGTTCCTAAAGCACCGACAGGCTTCCCTGGGAAGCGATGCAGCTGCACCTTTTATCACAAAGCGTTCCAGTGAAATGCTGGCCTTCCCCTATGTCAGCTAGTGAGAAAAGTGAGAATAACTTACAGCGTATCATCGAATCCCAGAACAGTTTGGGTTGGAAGAGACCTTAAACCAGGGGTTCCAACCTGGTTCCATGGGCAGGGACACCTCCCACCAGACCAGGTTGCTCCCAGCCGCATCCAGCCTGGCCTGGAGCCCTGCCAGGGAGGGGGCAGCCATGGCTGCGCTGGGCAACCTGGGCCAGGGTCTCACCGCCCTCATAATGAAGAATTTCTTTCTGACATCTAATCTAATTCTACCCTCTTTCATTTTAAAGCCATTACCCCTCGTCCTTTCAAATCCTTATGAACAGGATTATTCACAGACATCAAGTTTAAGCACAGTCACTGCCTCTGCAAAATCTAATTCTTCTCAACCCCTCAAAAGCATCGGCTGAAGGGAGGTTGCTGAATAAACGCATTTTCCCAGTGAGTCCTGACCATTGCGATCCTTGCGTTTGGCACTTTTCACCAGTGGCCACCACTACTGAGGAAAGGACTGGGCAATTAAACAAGAATCTGCAGGTTCTGGGAGAACCTGTTGGCAGCTGGGCTGGATGGTGAAGAAGTCACTTATATGGACCAAGAAGAGAGAGAGAGAAAAATGACAAGGTCTCACACTTGTTCAGCGCATTTTTTCCAGTGGAATCCTAAGATGCTGTTTAGGAGGTCTGGTATGACTCAAAACTATCCTCCTGGCCATCAGGCAGAAGAAGTTGTCCACCTGGAGCGGGGGAGACATCTTTTATCATGGACAGGTCTCCCTGGCTAAGAAATGCCCGAGGAATGAGATGGTATGTAGGGTCTGCTTCTAACACCACGTCATTACAGAACCACAGAATGGTTGAGGTTGGAAAGGACCCCACGAGGTCGTCCGCTCAAACAGGGCCACCCAGAGCCGGTTGCCCAGGACTGTGTCCAGACAGCTTCTGAGTATCTCCAAGGTGGGACACTCCACAACCTCCCTGGGCAATCTGTGCCAGTGCTCAGGTACCCTCACCCTGAGGGGTGTTTCCTGACGTTGAGAGGGAACCTCCTGTGGTCCAGTTTGTGCCCATTGCCTCTAGTCCTGGCAGCGGGCACCACTGGGAAGAGCCTGGCTCTGTCGTCTTTGCACCTTCCCTGTAGGTATTTGTAGGCAACGACGAGATCCCTCCGAGCCCTCCCGGCTCCAGGCTGAGCCGTTGCATCTCCCCCAGCCTCTCCTCATAGCAGAGTCCCTAAATTAGCTTTCCTTATTCTGCGGGCTTTGGGTCCTGTACAGAGAGGGTGTGCTCTTACTGGCAGTGCAGATGATTAAGGCCACGGTGCCTCCGCCTGTCATCGTGTACTTGAGAAACGGGGTGTCTTCTGACACAGCCGAGCACTTCTGTGGTCTGCTTCTGCCTTTTTGTTTTCACCCGATCTCAACATTGCACAGATTTTTACCACAACGCTTTCAGAAGGACCTCAGAGCGGGATCCTGGTTTGAGAAGACACTTTCACAACCATTTTCGGAAACTATTTGGGTAGAAAAACGGAAGTCGGATGGAAGAGCTTGGTGTCCACCAGTGCTCCTGGAGACAGGGTGGAGAGTGACAGATCCAGGATGAAGGGGACAGACACCGCTAGGGTCTCAGTTTTGTTTTGCTGTGGGTATCTAGAGCCAACTCTGACTGGAGTTAGGCTTGACAGGCAGATAGCATTTCTCTTCTTCGGGCAAAACCCACACGGCGGGTGGGTTCGCACGTGGCAAACGAGCCTTGCTTGACTGACACACCTACAAGCTGGTCTTCCGTGTCCTCCTGGGTGATCTGATGGCCGCTTCAGGAGTCTCCTAATGATGTGGAAATTTCCTGTGTAGAAGCTGCTTGGTAAGGCAGGTCCCAGGCAAGAAGAAACAAAACAGCTTGGGAGTTAAAATGAACAGTGTGAAAAATAAAAATAAATCAACCCAGAAACTGAAGTGCAGAAACACCGTTCATTGCAGAAGGGTCAGAAAAAGCCCCTCTTACCCCAGGGAGTGGGGAGGAGCTGACGGCACAGGGTGGGCTCTGCTCTCACAGTAAGGAACAGGGTTGGTGTGGGCGAGGAGCTGGGAGGACCTGCCGATACACCGGGGGCAAAACCCCAGTTTGCACATCTCATCTCATCTCATCTCATCTCATCTCGCCTCACCTCGATGTTCGGGGCAGGTGCGCGGTGCAGGCAGCAGCACTGCCACCACTTTTTCCATCTTGGGGTGACCTGAACAGTCTTGGTGTAGACAACACTGATATGACCTATGGGTTCCCCTGACACAGTGTGTCACTAAGCCGGGGTCCCGTGGTCCCTTCTCCCTGCAGGCTACAAGGACAAGAGCAGGTGACCTGTTTCACCTGGGGCTCTTGGGGCTCCACCCGAACCACACGAACTGCTGCAAAGCACGACTGTGCCTATAAAAGCACAATCTTGTCCTTAATCCCCTTCTTCAGAATTCCTGCCCAAAGCCTGAAATCACCCTCATGACCTAAAGTACTCGAGTCCTCAGGAGCAAAGACAGCACTGCGGGGAACTTAGAGGAGACACATCCCTCATGCTGCTCGCTTTCAAACATGGTTCATCGAGAGGTCTTTTGGAGCCGTACAGTGCCTGTTGTATGGCGTTCTCTTATTTGTTCTATCGCTTTCAAGAGCCCATTTAATTTTTTATCATAACTCAGAATCACAGAGTCGTTGGGGTTGGAAAGGACCTTTCGAGATGGTCTAATCCAAACCCCTGCTCAAAGCAATGTCAGCTACAGCGGGCTGCTGAGGACGTTGTCCAGCTGAGTTCTGAGCACCTCCAAGGACAAAGACTCCACAGCCTACTGGGGCGACCTGTTCCAGTGTTTGAGCACTTACACCATAAGAAAGTTTTTTTCTCCTGTTCAAATGGAGGTGAGCTAGTGCCCATTGCCTCTTGTTCCGTCACAGCACCGCTGAAGAGAGTCTGGCTCCATCGACTTCCTTGCAACTATCATCTATTAATACATTAATACACAAAAAAGACACCCACAAGTCTTCTCAAGGCTAAATAATCCCAGAAAAAAGATTCAGGCTGCTGATTCTCCACCAACATCTAAACCTTCCAGGTTCTTAAACCTCAAATGCATCTGATGCTCAGCCCAAGAGTTTGCCAAGGGGATGCCTACGCTGGTGAAACGAAAAGTGCCAGGCAGAGGCATTGGAACTGGATCACCCATGTTGTGAGACATTTACTACGGCTTCTGCCTTATTTTTAGCCCAGACTAACCATCTCTCTCAAGCAATTCTCGGCATGGTTTGGGATTTACCTCAAGCCAAGAACTACTGCTGCGCTGTTCTGGACGGTGAGAGCGCTCGATAGTAGAGATGTGGGCACCAGAAGTGTTTAATGATGGCTACACACAAAGCCCAAGCGTCTATCATACACGTGGCTGCTGCGAAATAGCGCCTATCCATCTCTCACCTAGCCTGTACTACGAGTCAGGAGGTGTCTGAACTCCTGCATACTCAAAAGCGCATCAGAGAGTCACCTGAGAGCGCGTCGAGCCCGCTGAAAACACAGCAGATGCACGTGTCTAATTGCTACTGCACTTGGCCAGAAAATACCTGACACCAGTTCTAGGGACACCTGACCTTGAACGGGCAGTAAGACACAGCTCCCGCGCCACATTCCCCAGCAAACAGGCCCCCTGGGAGGCGGCAGGCTCCAGCCCTCCTGCCGATGCCCAGCCACGGGCAGCAGCGCAAGATGAGCGCTGGTCAGGAGGTGGCCTCGGGATTCTAATTCACAGCTCTCTGGGTTAGGTTTTACTAAAAAAACCCCAACGGTGGTCTAATAATAAAAAATATTAACTTCCCAGGACATGGAATTTACAGCCGTGGGGTAAAAACTCAGATTAGAAAAGAGAAAACAGCCCGAAGACAAGATAGACAGATGTTTCGAGGAAATTCATCAGAGTACTTAGATCTTGAGACCTCAATAAACCTGAGGCAATCTCAGAGCTTTTGTGTTCATCTCTGAAAGCGCCAAGTTGCCTAAGGTGACACTCCAGGCGCTAGAAGAGGCTGTCCATAAAGCTTACACCCAGAAACAACGTGAGAAGGAACTAACAACTATAGACTAGTCAGCTTAGCCTCAGTTCTTGGGGAAAAAGCACAAAATAAAACCACTTGTAAACATGGAGAAGACAGGCCAAGTAACAGCCTACATGGAGTTTTTAAGAACAAATCATGCCAAACCAAACTACTTTCCTTCCACAGTGAAAAATCAAATCCTATGTATAGGAGAGAAACTATTAACAGAACACACTTTCACCTCAGCAATGCTTTTGACATCCTCTTGTGGGGTTTTATGGCTTTTCTTTTAGATTTAGTACCATTCAATCTTTTCATTAATATCACAGTTGACAGAATAAAGTATTTTCTTCTTACACCTGCAGACTGTATCACACTGTGGAGAGCTCCTACACTTTATAGAGCAAGATAAAATATAAAATATACTAAAATACAAAATTAGTTGAGAAATTGGAGAAATAGTTTGAAAAAATAGGTTGCATCCTATGAAGACATGATCAAACTCTCATATTGACTTTTGAGACATCAA